CTGTAGTTTATCATTGCCATTGTTTACTGTTCTGTCTGGAGCAGGTCTCTTGTAAATGAGTCTTTGTGGCTCAATGAAGCCAACCTGTATAAATAAAAGGTTGAATAAATCATTATGTATATCTATATATTCATTCAACCTTTATTGATACAGGTTAGTTCCATTGAGCCAATAGGACTCATTTACAAAAGAGACCTGGATTTTAACAAAGAGTGATGACAACAGTGGATAACAAACTGTTTTTCAATTGTAAAACAAACAAACAATTAAAAAAACTTAAATGTGTATGAATCATTTGTGAATGTCTGTTGTTGTTGTTGTTATCAGTGTCTTTTTATCTTGTGCTCTTGTCCAGTCTCTCCCTGGACGATGTGTGTGAGGGTGGACATGTTTGGTGGTTGCTGTGTTGAAGCTCCATGGATCAGCCTCTCTGCAGCTCTCAGCACCTTCACTGAGCCTTGAGGGAATCACTGAGCTGCTCTTGTTCTTCACAGTTAGAAGGTGGGAGCTCTCGTCAAATGATGATCTCCAGCATCATCTTGTTCATGCCAGGCTTTTCATCCACTGACCACAGCCACCTGGAAACATCAGGGGACCAGTAGCTGTTTAACACATCTGGAAGGAAACCAGTGAGATTTTAATATGACCATGACCATCATGATTTGATGTTATGTGGGGGAGTGGTGGAGCAGAGGTTAGAAGATGGGCCTGTGATCGGAAAGTCGCAGGTTCAACTCCCGGTACCGTCAACATCAAAATGAGGTGGAAAAGGTGAAACACCCACACCTGCCTCCACCCTCAATGGCCCCACTCTGGGCCCCTGAGCAAGGCACTCACCCCCATCATCTGCTCCTAAACAGGTCTCTCTAGAAAATGAGTTCTCGTGACTCAGTGAGACTACCTGTATAAATAAAGGCTAAATGAAAAAATAAAAGTTTAAAATAGAAATACTCACATCATGAGGCCGAGGTTGTGTGTGAGACGTGCACGTTCCTGAGGTTGTGTGTGTGACGTGCACGTTCCTGAGGTTGTGTGTGTGATGTGCACGTTCCTGAGAGGCCACAGACAGAGCAGCTCCAGCTTTTTTTGTTTAGTTCCCGTAGTCCTGCAGTTTTCAAGCTGAAATGAAAAAGCATCATGAATATGAACTTTACAGTCTATAGTTACCTGTTCATATAAACACATGGAGGTGTCTCACCTTGTGACTGACAATAAAATATGTAAATTTATGAACGTTAATGAACTTATAATGATGCTCCTACTATTTGAAGGTGAACCGATGGTACCACACCATCTCTCAGTCGGACAGTCTGATCAGTTTGATCAAAATCCTCCTGTTTAAAATCCTCACTCCTCCGATGAATCCTCCTCAAACTTCCTCCTCTTCCTCACATCTTGTTCTTTGGGAAACCTTCAAAATGAAAACAGGAGATTTGTGTCTACACAAAAACATTGTACAAAGGAGGTCAAGCTTATTTTCTATTTCCTATATTCTCCCTAGTTTTATTTTTTTATTTCCTAGAACTTAAACAAAACTCCAATTATGATGCATATCTCTTGATAATGAACCAAAGCTACTGAAATAGTGAGTATGCTTGTTAGAAAAATATTCCTGTCAT